ACAATCACCGTTTCTCATGCGTAAAATACCATAAATATTGACAAATTGTGGTCCTCAGAAAATAGTCAAATTATATCTAATAAATGAGGCATACTAAAACATCAAACTAGACAATCCACTGAATAGTCCGCCTTGCAAAATTCTGTAATTCGTTATCACCCTGATAAACACCTAAAGATTCAATCTTCACAAGTATTCCCGATTACGTGAGTGAAACCGTTTATCGATTACAAAACATCATGCAGCATATCGTCTTTTTTCAAATTGTAAACACTTTGTTGTTTTTTAAATCATCAAGAAACTTACGATAAATTGGCGGTGCACTGAATCAGTGTTCATCTGAGTTTTAAATTCTTCTGTATCTGAGACCAAAACATCAGTGATGAAATATCATTATGTTTTCATTGATACTGACCAGTAGTTACAAACACAAAGATAATGATAATTAGTCATGAGAAATAGTAGTTTTCGATAAGTATTCACACTGTCTGTTGGCGAACACCAGGGATTCCACACCTTTTGGAAATCACAGAACATTTATCCTCACTTGTCCAATATAATGCAATTAACTTGACCGCTACACCATAACTCAAGGTTTTCTACACCCAGTGAACAGAGAAAACATCCGCTGGAAATATTTCAATTGCCGTTCAGAGTGTCTCCAAAGTTCTGTAATCTCTACGAAGAAATACATCAGTTCACTGCATGGCTCAATACAGCTAAATAGCATATGCTATCAAGATTGTCTGCAAATTTAAATGTTACTTAATGTCTTTACTGCTGTTCAATCAGTATTTTAGGATACGTATTCTGCTTTTCGGTAGATAATAGTAATTCAAATACTGAAGTATTCGGAACATTGAGCGTAAATTCGTCGGAATACCGGTCAGTTCTTCAGAGGATCAAAGTGATCGGTTGATATCATGAATTGATGATCATTTTATATTTATTGCACACATTAGAATAGAATTTAAGATGTGATGTATTGAGAAGTGGGAACGGACAACAAGTGAAGCTGAAATAGACTAGTTTGATCCTAAATTATCCGTACTCCATTTGGTTTGCGATAACCATCTAAATTGATGTCCTCGAAAATGTTTGACGTACATAAACCAATCTGGAGACATTTCTTATGAGAATAATGTCACTAAGTCAGTTGATATAAGTAACAATAAAATATCAAATCTGACAGGTAGCAGGATAATGTTATGCCCACCTTCCGTACTAAATCATCTTGTAGTTGATTACCACAGCCCCCACTTTGAGTGGATAATTTCATTTCACTTACGGTAATGTTTTCGCTGTCGCCGCTAAAAGATTTGTGTAATGTGTACTGTATCACTTTAATGGCTAATCAGCACTTTGAAACTTTTTTTTACTTTTTTGGATGCAACATTATTTTGACTGGTTCGCGACCTTATTTCCTAAACGCTCATCGAACGCAATTCCGTTCCAGAAACAAACAATTTCAGCATCGTCTTAGGCAGTAAGTATTCCCCCCGTCCAAGTAAGTCAACCATCAGATCGTTTAGCTCAGTGAGGTTGTCCAACACTTCAGAACACGGTTTGGTTGACCTGAATCTGGCCAACAAATACAGAGTTAATATCGCCCGTCCATTTTTGCATGCATCTCTGAGGTGGCAATGGATTTCAGGGTTTCGTTTATAATGTGCTCTGTTATTATATACCCAGACAATTTGCATAATAATAATGAGATTTGGTTTCATTCCGAGTACGCAGTGCAGTACGTTAAAACTTATTAACCTTATTTTTCAGGTACGCGATGCTGATTGTCAAGTATCTTTAAAATAGCTTCAGTCATATGGAATGCCTCAAATCTTTATCAATCTCACTCAACAGCTGTAGGACAGTGGCACATTTCAGTGGATTAACAACGAAGAACTCATTGAAGTCTTGGAAAAGAAAACAGAATTAAGAGAAGCCTATTTATTTGTGATGATATTTTTAGTTGTATTGTATTGGATTATATGACGGAGTGTCATGCGAGTGAAAAAAAGAATACTCTGAACCGATATTGGGGTTCTAAAATATTTGGAATTTGCATATGATATTCGTCTAGTGTCACATAAACCCGATAATTCATGCGCAAAGACGGACGAAATGGTAATCAAGGCAGACGTTCCAACAGAACTGACAGCTATTGCATCCCATGCAATCATGATCTGCTGTTTTACAGTAAAGCACATTGAACATAAAGTGTTGATGTCAGTATATTGATTTATGAACAAGTGAACTGGCATTTATGAATCATGGAGATCCACGAAACAATTGCTATGACATAACTTATATCTCAAAAAATACTAACTGCTTTCACACAGATAAAAGTGTATTCGTTGCATAAAGAGTTTTATTTATTGAATACCTGCCATTTCAAAATCCTTCATTTATATATTAGAAAAATGTTGCTTGAGTTATCAGAAATCACACATCAGGCAAGCAAGTTACCAATACACTTTTTCACGTGGATGTATGATCTCAAACTGATTTGAGCTGGTTCGCAGCAACCACTATCATCTGAAAACAAGAAAAACAAATAGTATGAAAATATGAAAGTTTAACTTTCTGATTTGTTTATAAGTGATGATATGCTTGAATAAGAAAATGATATAGTGAGTATGAATAAACTGAAAAATTACCATTTGCAAATCTGGAAAAGCAACGAGTTAGGCGAATAAATGCACATTTTCCTCTTCATCAGCTGTACATAATTAGGTAGTCCAGAAATCAAAATTACTACATTCATGCTAGCTAGTCCTCGTGGATTCTGAACATCACATTTACATTGAAAGGGCGTTTAAACTTATTTATCATATCTATCACATACTATCTAACCTTCCACATACTCCACAAATACGACATCTACTTACAGTGAATGAAAATGGAATTCATATGAACAAGCAAAATCTGCGTATTCAAAAGAAATGTGTGGCTCCCCATTCATGGCTATGGCCAACTTCATAATACGTAATAAGTCTTACTTACGATTCTCCACTCCCCGTGTTATTTTATTCCAGCTACAACCACAGGTTATTCAATCAACGTGCTTTTGTCGTAGTATTATTTCGTGATTCTATTTGGTCATTCTGTTCTTCCTAGTCACCATTATTCTAGAAATTTCACCACTACAAAAGAAGTCTTGTTGTAACACCTTACGAGTATGTTTATCTTGTATAACCGTATTACGAACATCCCTCCATCAAAATTTTGACATCGTTTTACTAACATCAACTAGTTAATTATTATAGTGTTTCCGAGAACATCCCTTTGTTCACTTAAAACCGTTAATTCCTATTCACTAAAATAAATACATACTTGGTATAAATTTGATGATCAACTATATACAAAAGTTTAGAGACACTGACAAGGAACTATTTGAAATGCAAGAATATATCATTGCTCAGTTTGTGCTCTTCAAAATAAAATATGTTTCAGATTTAGTAAGAATGCTACCAGTCTGTCATTCCTCCAAGCAATTCCGGGAAAGAGATAAGTTTGAACTTACCAAACACATGGAGGTATTGAGAAAGCCGCCAGCCATCATTTTGCACAGGTCCTACAAAATAAACATTGAATCTCGTGAACACTCGATGCAACCAAGCAGAATAATTCTAGGAGTTCTCCTGTACATTTGCACTCGGTGTTACTGAGTGGTAAAATTCAGAGCAACACAGATAATATAAATTAGAATAACTGTGTATTCACGAGATAAGTTAAACTTCTGCTATCCAAATGAAGACATCTTCAGCATTATTTCCAGGAATAACAGTGACTAATAGTAACTAAGGAGACGAAGTGTCGCTATAAATCTACAAGTCAGCATTTTTCTTGGTCGAATTTGATGCACAAATGTTTGATTCCTACGTTATATTAGCCACAATGAGTAAACGACTTAAAATGAAGTTTTTGCATACCATATAACCTGCATGCTGTGCAGATTTGACGAAATTGATCCAAGTCACTAAACTACCACCGAACAAAATTTTGTGTGGTCTATTCACTTCACACCAAATAGAACTGACTGGCTGTAAACTTCAGATTTTTTTCCTTCCTTCACTTTCCCCAGTGGAACATAGGGCTTCAAGCTAGTGGCTTGAAGTTCCTGTGGCAGTATTTATTTTTACAGAATAAGGTTGCTAGCTTCATGTCCAACCTTTCCTCTTTACCAGCCTTATTTATGGCTTAGCGAGGTGAAGGAGTGCGTCGGCTGGGGATCAAACCCCGGACGGTTCGGCGAGCGTCCTAACCACTATGCCACCGACGCTAATTGCACTCTAAACTGTAAACGAATCGTAATACTACTGGTTGCTCTCTCAACCGCGTCATATAACGTTCATACATGTTCCCCTTAAATAGTACCGTTTTTGAATCTTGTAATGGCTGCCAGTCTCTTGATACGCCATGTGGGTAGAAGGATTTTCTATTGTTGTGGACATTCCATTTTATGGATATTCTCGTATGCCACCACAAAGAAAGTATAAGTTATCCATCTTTGTCTTCCCCATGTTATCAATCTTTGCTTTCACCATGTTGCACTCAACTACACGTCGATTTTGCAATGAATTTCGGATAAGGAAGTCTGGCAGGATACTCAAAAACGACATTGAATAGATCATTTTGCACCCATGATGATTTCAACGATTCACACATTTTCCTTCAGTGAAAAAAACGTCGTTCATTTAAACGGTTTTCTAACTAGCTGATAGTAGATGAAATTAATTCGTCTTTCTAAGACTGGACACTTCCAATACCATTAACTTCCATATCACGTTTAGTTATGAATACATCGCACAGAGATTAAGAATCGTTTACCGTATGACAATGTTTTGTTTCCCTCATCCATTGTAATGTGAATGTTTCGAGTAAAAGGAATGTGGGGAATCGTGGATATTTGATATTCGATGCAAACTGTGAAATGACCACAGCCGTTCAACAATAAACGTCGATGTGTAATAAATCATTTGAAAATTCACCTAACTCACCTCATACCAAGGTATGAACGTCAAAACCACCAAAAATACCGCACAAATCATCGATAAAACCGCCAGTACGATAGCCACAATTATTTTCAATCTTCTTCTCATGAAGAATATAATAATCATCAGTAAACCTTCCAGTATAGTGAACATGAATAGATATGAACATTTTAAACAAATGACTTTGCAGTCTACCAAGCAGACTTCTGACGACCATAGTAAAAGCTGTTGACAAAATTAATTTAAAAAAGTACAAATTAATGAAACAAATTAATTGGTCTTCATAAATATTATGTTTAATCTAATTACAACCTCATTCAGCATGAAAAAAATATGCTATATCGGACTTCACAAGAATCACTTCCTCTCAGTCACGTTTGCACAAGACTCGATTCGTCGGTGGAGTCTCGTGACTACGGATAAAATATGCACCTGCTGATAATATACCGATTTGGCATATTTTATCAGTGGACTACCGAAACTGGTGGCTATAGTTGAGTTGCTTTACTGACTCAGAAATCTATCATGTTTTTCGATTGCAAATTTAATGATGCTCAGACTTGTATTCTATTATTACAAGACACGCACACACTATGGATGATTTTGGACAAAAGTTGTCCACTGCTACGTGCTTCCTTGTCTGAATAAATTCTATATTTCAATTTTATAGTGAGATGGTCGCTATAAGCGAAACAATCATTAATAAAGAAACTGGCCTTATTAAGTTGACATTCAGGAGAACTTACCAATATTGCAAGGAATATTCGTTCAATTCTCCAGTTTATGCAGTATTTGAGGGACAGTATTAAAACGATGACGAAAAGAAGTGCTCTGAAATCAAATTTGAAACTGAGGAGTGAATTTCAATGGTGTAATTTATCAGCATGTATATCTTTCCGTAGTTTTATCACTGCACATCAATTATTTCTATGGTCTATCACACAGTGTAGAAGGATTATTCGTGGAACTAATTATGTAACAGAATACATTTCTGGCCATCACGTTATCTCACGCTTCAGGCTAACTGATTGTTTTTCATCTAGTTGAACAATGTGCATGTAATCACTGGTTAACATAAACGCATATAAAAGTAAATTGCATAAATGGCTTTTATCACTCGAATATAGTAGAACGTGGAACTCACATGCAAGTGACTGCTTCAACTTACCACAATTTCATCGCAAAATATTTCTCTGATCTAAAAAACAAGAAATTCATTATAAGTTTCATGAGAAACGATATTTCTGAGGCTTTGTTTTGAAATGGCTGATCATTCGCACTCATACAATGTCGAATTCGGACAGTTCACTCAGTTGTCAATGTGTTTGTCACTATTTATACTATTTTAAGCATGAAATCACAGCGTTATATTTTTTATTTTATTATTGGTTCAGTGATGCTTTCATGTGAACATCTTCTATTCAACCAAGTCTCTATAAAGTTTAAAACTAGTTGTTTATTTCATATATATATACATATAATATATCGAAATATTTTACAAACACACACCCCTTAAGTGAAAGAAGGCTACTAATATATTCGGAATTTCCTTAAACGACAACAAAATTATATTACTGAAAATCCAAAGAAGGTGGATAACTTACTAGTGAATAAAGTATGATTCACCTCTAAACGTCAGACTATTGATATGCGAATAATTCGCTCATGTTCAAATGTATCCATCTCATTCTTTGAAACTTTGGTCCAAATATCCAGACAAAAACGTTTAGATATAATATTAACTCAAAAAATAAAACTTGATACAATGTACTTTAAAATTATGAAATGTAAAAAATGCATACAAACATAATAAATAATGACTTCAAGTACATTCGTAATTGTTCTGAATTTTCCGTTATTTTGATTGGTTGCTCATCGCATCACCGCATACCCGCTGAACGAACTTACATGAAATGTTGCTATACCTGTTGAAATGTGTCAGGTTTTTCCCTAATAAAATCCATAACCAAGTCTCTTTACTTCTGACGTTAAATTCGAAATATGGAAGCGCTATTGACATTCCAGTTAAAGATTTCACTCAGCCTCGAATATCCCTATGAGTCAATCTCAAAATGAACAGTTCTGTTTTAGGTATTTTGAAAATCCATGGACAGTATAATGAATAAGATCAAAATATCTACAGCTGATTTACCACATCGAATGAAGTTACTCCTTGTTTGTAAAGGGAAAGATTTACCCCATTTACGAATAATTATTGAATAGTGAGAACTGAGTGGCTCGAATTATATTGCCTCCAACTGGTGTCATTCTCAACATTTAAGCAGTTGTATTTATTTAAAGTAGATGCGTTTGCTATTGAATCCAACATAGTAACGGAGGTTATTAAAATTGATAATAATTTTCAACTTGATATGAATGTTTGAATCTGTGAATTTAGACTACAGAAGGCATGGAAACAAAATAATATACGATTCGAAAATGACTGGGAAAATGCAAAACGAGTGCCGCTGTAGACATTATGAGCATAGAAGATAATTGATGACAGGAGACTTAATGTCACAATAAAAATTTTCGGAGCTGTAAACGGCACAAACTACACTAACTGATGTGATAAACACTATGAAAATGAGGAATGGGAAAAAAACTTAAAACTTTTCCAAATTCATCTAAACCACATAATGGAAACCCCTACTAAAGCTACTCAAAGTGGAGACGACAATGAATACAACCTGAGAGACATTGAAGGTACATCGACTATCGACCAATGTGAAAAAGAGAATAGGCAAAAGTTTTACCTGATTAGATATACTCACACATGGAACAAACTACCAATGGGAATGAGGCTAGCATGCACATTAACCTGCTTTCAAAAGATACCAAGTGAACAACTAAAAGAATTTACAAGCAATATTAATACCGATTCCCGTGTAAGCGCTTCAGAAATCATGGGTATATTCAATGTGTTTGTTTTGCCTCTATTTATAATTTCAGACAATAAAGCAACAGTCGAGACATAATCTCTCAATTAAATAAGATACCCTTTCATAACGTCTACCTGATACAAAAGTGAAACAAAGCAGACACGCGAGTGAAGTATAAGAAAACAAAGGAATAACATGCTTTAGTTTCGCATAGAAGGATATGAGATTCATGGACAATATTTTATCAATAATTATGAGGAATTATATAAATTCACGATTCCCGTTGATAAAACTCAAAGCCTGAAACCTTCTCAAACTTCGAGTAAACGTTGGATGGTTGTAGACGTTCACGAAATAATACATTTAAAGAATACATTTAATGGCCCTGAACACATCGATACTTTGCTGACTACGTTAAAATTTCAGAGTAACCAAACCCCACAATAAAGGGAATTAACCAAATCCGCACTGTAGACATGATGTAATACTCATCCAGATACTCATCTATATGTTGATAAAGCTGATGCATCTAAACCATAAGATATACAGGGCCAATAAACCTGGACATCCAAGCAAAAGTGAAAGTATACTGGGTGTAGCATTAGAATTCTCACCAAGTAATTCGATAGTATCATTTAGTTCCAGAATTCTCCACTCGTCAATTTTCAATAGTTCGCAAATATTTGGTTGCTCGCCGAGTCTAAACTAAACAAAACTCACCTGTCGCCTAATAATTTCAAATTATTATTTCTTCACATATTTAAGTGGGCACTAACTGCTGTGGTGTCCCGCTTGTGGATTACATTGCCGAAAGCATTATTGTCGACCAACTAACCAAAGCTTTACTAGCCATTTTGACAATTTTGTGAAAAGCCTACCGTATCTATCACATATAAGACAGCTTTCAGTTGTTACGCGCGTTTTCACCGAATTCAAACACTTATTAAGCCTAGGAATATATATATATATATACGTCACGTAAATTGATTTTAGCAGTCTGAAGGGTGCGTCGGTGGTATAACGGTTAGGACGCTCGCCAACCATGCACATGGTCCGGGGTTCGATCCCGGCCAACGCACTCCTTCACCTCGCTAAGCCATAAATAAGGCTGTAAAGAGGAAAGGTTGGGCATGAAACTAGCAACCTTATTCTGTAAAAATAAATACTGCCACAAAACTTCAAGCCACTAGCTGAAGCCTATGTTCCACTGGGGAACGTGAAGGAAAAAAAAGTCATCAAAGTGAAATCATGCCATTACCATACCATATATATGTATCCAATGTGAGTGAATAATTGTAAATATGCTTATTATACATATACAAATCTCATATCAAATTGATGACGTCCGTAAACTGGTGTCCTTTATGTACAAAAATAAGAATATGTATTATTTTTACTATCTTTTGTAGTTGAAGATGATAAAAATAATGGGAGGGGAACACAAAACCATAGAAAACTAAAAGGACAAGCGTATCAAGACTCCTAACTTTCTTTTTATTGTAACCTCATCCCCCCACTCACGTTTTCATCCCCCTTTATAAACACCATTGTTGAAATGATGTCTAAGCACTTCCATTTCACACGTATCTCTCCCGAAAAGAACCAAATAACTGAAATATTCTAATGCCTTTTTCCCAACGATTTGAAAAAGAAGAAATATCCTCATGCAATTAAAAGTTATCACCATCTGCCTTACCTTAATTTATTAATTTCCTAATGAGAAGAAACTTTTTATTTATAGAAGAAATCTGTCACGAATCTACTTCTGAGTAGCCTGCTTATATCACTGAGTCACCCCGTTTGACATTGAGAAAATAACTCAGAATTCACCAAGTTTTGTTGTCTAATTTGTACTTCAGTTAAGTTCTTGAGTAATAACCGTTACTCATTCGTATCATTTTTTTTAAATTTCAGATTGCTGTTATGCCTTCATCAAAACTGATGAGGGAAGAGTATTCCACGGAGAACGCTAAAATTTCATCAATTTAAGTCAGCACATTGTTCAAAATGAAGCTAACAAGATTATCGTAGTAGCTGAATTTCTGCTATGTAGAACATCACAAAGAATAAATGTCAGTCGTGACATATCGCCTTTATTTGAGTGTGATTGGGATAACAGCGTCAAAACTGATCAAGCATATCGACAGCGTTGAAGTCAACAATTTCACTAGTTTATTTCATCCCCAGTTATAAGTGACTACTGATCATCGTGGAGTACAAGAAAGTGAAGGTGAAACAGCAGAAGACAAGAGATGGAAGTTAAGGTATATTTTCAATTGATAAAACAGCCATTCATATCTATGCAGTTTACATTCTTGAACTAATCACTGGGCGTGTGACTTTGATTAGACGACATGAAACAGAATATTCAGATATCTAGTGAAATGTGGGACAGGTATTCTGACTAAAGCAACGAATACGATGTTCAAATACATACAGTATTCTGTTGCTAATGTAATACTGAACTGAGGAGATACGGGAGAATAATCATCCGTTGCAATGCACTGCCTGCATTACACCGGCACAAAGGAAATGATGGTGGCAGATATGACGAATGACACACAGTCGATAGAACTTTTCAAAGAATAGTAAGCGACATGAAGTGATTATGCCCGAATAACACCGCACTGCTTTATCACCTAAATAGCCAGCAGTAAATGATCGCATAACACTTTATTTAATTGGCTTTTAAAAGCATCCATTTTTGTTACAAGGTTTCTTTTCGTATTACCAAGTGCATATACTTTATTCGAGAATTCCTCACTGAAGTTGGATTACTTTGCATTCCTTATTAAATGTCTACCTGAATTCCACACCATTTCTTCACAGACTTATTCATATATTTATGCAATCGTTTCATTCTCGGAATTCAGTGGCTAAGGATGATTAGGAAAATCAACAGTGACTCAAAATCTTAAAAAATATCATTCATATCTGAGGAAATTGCTGCGCCTAGTTGAAACTGAAAGTGATGGCACACAGCCATGATTTTTATTTCAAAAAACTGGAAATATGAACCAACTCCTGTTCATGCCAAATGGAAAGTGCTTGTTTGTACAAAACACGAATTACTGTTGAAGTCGCTAAATACAATACAAAGGAGATAAGTGGCGTGAAACGTATTTCAGAGAACTGGCAAATACGTGTGCTATATTCTAGGAACACAAATTAAAGTGCACCATGAAGGTACAGAGATTTGATTACATGTATGTAAATTTGTTAATTTGCTTCTTGGATAATTATATCCGGTCTGTTACTTACACTTGTTATGAAATGCAATAACATAACATAAGATAAGCTTTATTCCAAATCAGTACTTGTGATACAGAATGGAATTCTCAGCATTTTACTACAATATTGCATCCAGTTTTTACATTAACAATAAATAAAGTTCTACATAGATTAAAGTTATCTCAACAACATATTAGTATGTCGGTAGCAAAGCCAAAATTAAAGTGTTTGAAGGTGTTAGAAAAGTAGATACTACTAGCATATTTACTGGTGTAAGCGATAGCAAAATGGTCGATATATACAGAGTCTGAAAGAACGAACAAGAATGTTTTAAGTAGAGTTTGCAAGGAAGAGAGAAACAAAACAGCACATAACAAAAATAAATAGAGAAGGAAGAGAGAGAAAACGTTGTACCTATAAATGATGTGAGTTGGATAGACGAGATCCATAGGTTCTACTGACTATTTAATAAGTTAAAGGTTTCATGCCTGATGCATTCTTTATCGCACAGAACACGGGCTAGGTAGGGTATGGATGAGTTTTTGTACTTACTAGTGCGGGCATATAGTTTCCTATATAGGCTTCTTGTTTTCCCTGAAGAGATACATGGGGAGAGTTGTGAATGTAGAGGGTGTTGTGAGTCAGATAAAATGGATTTCGCCCATTTTTCACAGGAGTCCATATGCCTGTCCACCAGAATATTAACAAGCTGGCTAAGTGGCAAACTGCTTACCCTGCTGACAACCTTTAACATCCTACGTAATAAGGTATAGTCTTTCTTCAATAGCCCAGGAAAGACTAAGGGGGAGCAATAGAGAATAATAGGCAGAATACGGGAGTTAACAAATTGTAGGAGTAAGGGTTGGGTTACACCAGAATGTCTTAACTTCTTGATGTAGAAGGTAAGACGGTATATTTTCTTGGAAATCGTCAAGATATGAGACGACCAGGAAAGATCAGAAGATCGAGTGACGCCTAGGTATTTAATTTCCGATTTGGTTTCTATTTCACTGCCATCTATGTTGCACACCTCGTGAGTGCTAACCAGTTTGTTTAGGTCAGATTTATGCCTAAGGGTGAAATTAACTGTTTGGCATTTGGAGGGGTTTAAGGTTAGACCGTTTTCCTTGGACCATTGGCTAATTTCCGA